TGCCGCAGATTCCTGGGTATCCGACGCTGGGGTCGGTTGAGTGGGATGCTTCATTACAGGCCCGTCCACACCAGCTGTGCTATTACTGGTCCCGTGAGCAACATCGCCTTGTCTAGCTGCACGTGCGCCCGCTGCATTTTCGACGGTCATAGCCACAGGACGCTTCCCTGATAAGTCTTCCTGTCGGCGTCCTTGTGCGAGCTCCAACCCACCCCGGTCTGCCGAGACTTGTTGCAAAGCCTGATTGTCGCCATGCGCTAGGTCTGTTGTGGATAGCTGATCCTGACCAGTTGCGTCATGCGCAGATTCCACGTGACGATGCGTGTTCTCTTCAACAGCACATTCTGCTTCAGCCCCGTATGTGACCTGTTCTGTTCCTCCGGCCATAGCCTGTCGCCCTTCTTCCTCGGTAAGACGACAGCGTTCCCTCTCTTCAGCGGTCTTCTTTCTCTCCTCCTGTAGTCGCCGCAAAGTGTTCGTGGATTCTTGCAACATTTGTATCCTGTGTTCGTGGATGCAACGAAGACGTTGGACGTCCGCCAACCAACGGTTCCGCTGCTCCATGACATTAATCTCCTCTTCACTCATATCAGGCTCAGCCTTAGTCGGTAGGCCGTCTTGTTCGATTGCAAGTGAATGAAGACCCACGGAAGCCTGTGCACCATTTCCAAGCCAACCTTCAGTGTGCAAAGTACGTAGCTCGTCAAGTTCTTTGAGCGCCATCGTGATCTGTTGCTGTACCTTTTGCCTCCGTGCCTCTTCCTCCGCTCTTTTTGTTTCTTCCTGAGCTCGTCGGCTCGCAATGAGGGCACGCCTGGCATCCTCTTTCGCCCTGTTCTCCCTCTGAAGCGCACAGATTGCTGCTTCTTTGACACGTAGCTCTTCTTCTTTCTGAACGAGCTCTCGCGACCGTGCTTGGAATGCGGCCTCATCCGCGCGCTGGTGTTCCGCAAATAAGGCACGCTGATGGTCCAGCGCCCTGCATTGCTGTACTAGCGCATTTTTGGCTTCTATATGAGCGCGATGTGCAACACCAAAAGTGGCGCTAAGATTGTGTACGGCTTCAAGAATGATCTTAGTCTGTGTTTGAAATTCCCGAGTGACAGTGGACGTAACAGCAAGAGCATCGACATTGTCAGAGTCCGACGTATAATCGACTTCAAGATTGGATTGATGCTGTGCTGGGTACACATGCTGCAGAACAACGGAATCGCCATCGCCCTGTTGCGAAGGTTCCTGACGTACTAAGTCGTCGTGTGCTTCAGTGATGCATAGTCCAGGGGGCGAAAACGAGGTGGTTGGAGAGAGGGAAGGCGACGATAACGACGTGAGATTATTGCTGATCGCTTGTAAACGTGCTTGATGTGAATCTAGCGACTCCAAATTGAACATCGATGACTTCTGCGAAAGTTCTCGCCGACCAGATTCCTTGTCACCGCCCGCGCATTCCGTCATAGATTGCGGAAGCGAGAGAGCTGAAGTGACTGCCGGGGGAAGACTGGAAGTGCAGGCTATTGTACGTACCGAAACCGAAGACACTGATGGATCTGTGGGATGTGATTGGTCCATATTGCAAGTTCTTGCAGAACTCTCAAGTTGAGAACCGGAGGGCCGACGTGATTCTGGAAATGACGGGGAGAGATGAAGTGGGTCCGGACTTGCAGTTCCGGCAGCTGGTCCATGCTGACCCCGACCCCTCCTGGCTCTGCGACTAGACACGACTCCAGTTTCATTTCCTGGAGGTGGCGAAGAACCCTCCGACTCGGGGGACGGCAAAGATTCGATGGGTGGTATAAGGTTCGAACTTGATGTGTCGTTGCCTTCGACGGCCATATACTTTGCCCGATCGATGCGTGGTCGAGACAACGCAGGGTCTGCACTAAGATTGGATTGGATGCGAGTGGTCAAAGAGCCATTGGAAGCTTGACCGGTCATGGTTCGCGACGCTGAAGAGGCGAGCATACTCTCGCCGCCTGCTAGCTTCTGGAAGAGTGTAGGTCTCGAAGACGAGGGCTGGACATTACTGGTTAATGGTGATAGCGATGCTGGCGAAGGAGACGGAGAACTAAAAAGTGCAGTTGCAGTGTCGGATAGAGAGATACGACTGAGCAGGTCTGGCTGCTTTCCTATCGTCTCGAAATGTACGTCTTCGAATCTTGGCCGAGCAGGCAATACAGGGACTGTCTGAGAGGTGTCTTCTGAAGCATTGTTCGATGATTGTGAGGGTAGTAGATGTTGCGACGGGCAGCCAAACATTGATTCCGACATGGCTGCTCGATAAACTTGCGATGGTGTGATCAAACTCCTAGATATACAGCGTTCGAATTAGTGACTGGTCTTCGAGAGCAAGACAACAATGATTCACTTGAGTGGTTGTAAAACTCGACGAGCTGAAAATTCGTCAGTCTGTTTCTTTCCAGGAAAATTAAAGTAAGAAAGCGAAAACAAGTCTGCCCTTGGTCAAAGAGAAGTGCAAACGCACCACGGCGCTTCAAGTCAATCTCTCGCCAGGAATATATAATAGGTTCGGGAAACCCCGCTAGGTGGCAATTTACCCGCATACTATGCTGCACACGTAGGTACATGTAGGTACATGTTTAGAGAGGAGTGCAATTGGAATTGACAACTCTACAGGTCCTCAGATAGCATATGCCGACTGAATGATGCTTTCATGACTGGGTCAGACATGGATGTCGGTCCGTTTCCTTCTCAGCTTCGAAAGCGACCCCATCACCTTCGGAACCCACGTCTTCTTTGTCTTCTCCGACTGACGATTGTGCCTTCCGTGTCGATTTGCGACCCTTAGTTTCTTTCGACTCGCTCGCCGCTGGTGGACGGAGAGACGCTATACGGGCAAGCATCAGATTAAGCTCGTTCTAGAGGGATACTCAAGTACCATATATCACGGGCTGTAAAGCATAGATCCGATGCAAATGTAACACGGCTTGCTCTTTATCCTTCGCCTCTATCATCAGATCTATCACATTCTCTCGTTAATAGAATGTGCACCTGGGAGAGACGCGACGCTCACCCATATCATCCGGTAATCCCTTGGGCAAACTCTGACACCGGTCGGAGTGTGCTCGGCGTTCCATGATTGTAACAGCACCGTTCCGGGCTTCACTGTAATGTTGCTTGGGCCTGATGCCTCGCCTTCTGAAAATTTTGTCTGCCTCTTCAATAATGATAGATGGCGGGAGTCCAGGTGAAGGATTCAACATATCATGGTGATAGTCGAACACTAGCGGAATGTTCAGTTCCTTGCATAGGGGGAGAAGATCAGCTGCATTATAGCAGAGCTAAGTCCATACTCCAATCAACACGAGTGAACGGCAAACAGTGACCAACCGACCTCGTCATTCTCCAGCACTAGTCGAGCTCTGACTTGCTCGGGCAGATCCTCCTTGATGGTTTTCTTGATCCTCGCCAAAGCAGCTTCTTTATCACCATATGTCCCTCCGCCATGAATAATTATCACACCATCGGACCCAACACCCATGAGATCAAGCATCTCACAATGATACTTCAAATCACGAATGCTTGCACGAACAACCGCCTGGCGTGGAGAACCGAGCTGTGTGAACTGACCAGGATGCGTCGTAAGCCTGTGTCCATACTTCCTCGCTAAAGCACCAGCTTTGGCAAGAAGAGGTGCACAATAGTCAAGCGAGTAACCGTATGTTTCGTGCGAGGCAAAGGGAAACATCTCAGAAGAACTGTAAGTGAAGAGTAAGTCGAAAACGTAGGATGATGGCTGAAAGGATCGCACAGTCTCATGAAACGAATGTTCTGTGAGGAATAAACCACTGTATGATGAATATGAGCTTGGACGTACATTCTGCTCATTCCACTCAATTATTTGGAACATGTCCTCGACATTTTGTCGGCCCAGATCTTTCACCCATTCGATACCATTTTTCTTGATGGAATCAATGCTATTTTGATACGTCACAATCAAGATACAGGAATCAACTAAATGGTCGACTTACCGGCAAGTCCTGGAGCAAAATATAGCCTCACTTGCAGGTCGCTTATTTCGAAGGACTGTATTTAAGCAAGCATATCCTGTAGGAACAATTAGGTACCATATTCACAATCAAAAGATAAAGGCGTTACCAAGTCGTCCTCTAAATGTTGTTTCCTTTCTTTCAACATCAGGGACGGGCTCAGGACTAGGAACACGTCTGCGCTTTTTTTTCGGCTGTTCTTTTTCTCCAACAGTAGAATTACCTGCTACTATTGCAGAAGTCTCTGGTTCCCCAGGCTTTGATGCCTTCCTTGCTTTCGCAGGGGACAGTTGAAGATCACCCTTCTTCTCGTTGTCACAAAAAGACCTCCTTTTTGATTTCTTTCTCCCAGGCCCGGCCTTACTTCGGGCTCTTCGTGGTCGTACCTCCTCATCCTCGATTGGGGTGAGATCAGAGTCCTCGTCTTGCAATAATGTAGAGCCTAGCACTGGCATAGCTGGGACATTCGGCTCCTTGGCTCGCCTACTCAGCGGGCTGGCCGAGACGTTCGTCTGCGCTCGAGTGAGGACGTCGTTACTAGCTGCTGGGCTGTGGCAGCTGGGTGACGCAGAGGAATCCATCGTTCGAGCGAGGTGGTGTAACGACAGAGGTCTAACACGCTTGATATGATGTCGGAGACTCAGAATGGTGAAGCACGAAGAGGGGGATCCGAGAATGCAATCCACTCAGCTCTTAATAAAGGGCGTCACAAGAAGAGTTATTCCACGTCGCACTGTTACGCACCAGCTGCCCGTACGCCTCGACAACGACTAAATAATTGAGACGAAGCTCCCGAACGAAGACTCTGGCAGTTCGACTTGCATTTATATCGCGCATCGTTTCAGTCCGATCTGGTCTGACACAGGGGAGCGATCGACGAAATAGTGGCGCTGGTTGCGGCTTTGGAATCTATCCCGCAGTCATTAAAGCAAAAAGACTAGCCAAAGCTGGGTACGATGACTCGACGAAATAAAGAGATATCCAAAATGAAACGGGCCTTGCTGGGAATCGAACCCAGGCCACTTGCACTTTTGTAAAACCCAAAGCAAGTATCGTACCTCTAGACTACAAGGCCGTTGAAGGATTTGGGCCGTATGGATTTGATATCGTCGGGTCGCAACGTTGCGGGCGACGTACAAATGAGCAGAGGAAAAGACATGTAAGTGCCTTGGTGGTGACGAAGAGAAGCGTTACATCCATGTTATGATATCGCAGATGCGACCGTGTCTGAGTACATTAAGTATTAAAAAAGCCCCTCCGTCAACCGCTCTCCTCCATCTCTGCAAGTGCAGCCTCGTTCAGTGCTTCTGCCTCCGCCATGATTTTCTCCTCAAGCGCGGTAACTCTCGATTCCGCATCCCTACGCTCTTCCTCCAACTCGGCGTACCGCTCTTGTAATAGGCGTTCTCGTCGAGCGAGTATATCCACATCTTCTTTGAGCGTCTCCACCCTGCGAGGTCCAGCGGCAGATTCGTTTATGGCCAATTTCGAGAAGCTGTCATAGTCAAGTTTTGTCTTCACAAGCTCATCGAAGGCGTCGGTGACGCGCTTGGCGAGAGCTTTAGAACGCGCTTGATATCCACCTAACGTGATGCCGAGCTTCTTCTCTACCTTGGCCACTTTACTTGCTTCCTTGGTCATTTGTTCTCTGCTCTCATCAAGAAGAGCAGAATACCCAGCTATGCGATCCTCGGGAGGTATACTGTCAGGTTCTACCCATGTTCTCGTGCCACTGTTGAATGCCAGCCGTTGTCGGGTGTAGGCCCACGAGGTTGTCTCATCCACTTCTTCGCTCCGGGAGAGGGTTGCTAGACCTTCCTTTAGCTGGAATTCAGTTGCGGAAGGGAAACCAATGGAAGTCGCAAGTTCGAGGTGAATTTGAGACTTCGCGAGTGCGAGATCGTCGTCGGGAGGTATTTCGTACGAAGATTGAGTGTTGCCCGGGAGGTTAGTCCCGGGCAATGGGTATGTGATGGAATCATGTAGCAACAGGTTTGCGAGCTCCGCGTTAACTAGTTTCCGGGCATCCGCGAGCTCCTCACTCTCTTCACCGAGATTGAGGTCACGCATCAGCTGTGCCACGTCGACCCTAGCTGGACGAGGAAGACCTCGCTGAACAGCCTGTGACCGCCGAGCGAGGGCCCTGCGCTCCTCCTCCTCCTGCATGCGCTTCAACCGTGCGTCCCGCTCAGCAGCGTCTTCCTCGATGATCGGACCTTGCCCACTCTCCTCTTCCTCTTCCTCTTCGGGTACAAGCAGCTCAAAGTTGTTTTCAGGCTTGGGAAGGCTCATGAAACCGGCTTTCACAGCTCGCTTTGCGGAGTCTACTCGTAGACGCTGATCCCGGGATGTCTCATTACCAAACATACCAGAATCGGGATTGATACTGAGGTTGTCCCGCATGGGCGTGCGGAAAGGGGTCGCACCAGGCATAGCCTTGCCGTCGCCTCGAGGAGTCGCGGACACGTCACCTACACCACCGTGCAGTGGTGTTGCTAGTGGGTTCGGGGTGAAGGCGACTTGGTGGCAAGGAGTAGCACTGTCGAAACCCGTCCCACCGCCTGGACCAACGTGCAGCGGCGTATTCTCGTCACCGAGAAGAGGTGTCTGGGCAATGGTCATGTTGCGCAGATTCCGTGCCTCAGTCATGATGTTGTCATCTGTTAACATGCGTAAAAACCTTGCAACGAGTTACTTTTCCGAACATAGCCACTCACGTTGCGGTGCAGTGCGAGGTGTTCGTGCCATTCGCGCACCTTCCAAACCTTCATAGTCGCCCAGAAGTTTTGCCGTAGCTTCGCTGCCTCCGCTTACCAACGCTTTCGCATTCTCCCCCGTCTGTCCAATCTTGACAATCTCCTCAAGTTCAGCCTCACCGACCTGCGCACCAGGCAGCACCAACTTCCTTCGGCGTCCAATGCTCTCAGCTTCTTTCAGCTTCTGTATCTGAGCATCGCGCGCAGCTATGAACTTGGTCTCATGTCCTGAACCCTCTGAGCCTTCTTTTCCTGCAGCATTGCGACGTTGGCGTTTCCTACGCTCGGCTTCTTCGTCCTCGGGCTTGCGCTTGTTCTCGAGACGACGCAGAGACTGGCCGACAGGAGCGCTAGTGATACGAGCCTGTTCTTCAGACGTGTCGTAGAAACCAGGTGCGGGTCTCTTCTCAAAAGGGATATCTGCGTTGTACTGCAGGAGGTATGATTTTATCAACAACACCTTTTCTGTCATAAAGAAACCCTTACATCCATGCCCTTGATTTTTGTTTTGTGACGCATGCTGTGAACATTATGAGAATCGATGAAACAACAAGAAACAGGGAACACACATGATACCAGCTGCTTTCAATTCACGTTTCTTCTGCAGTACAGCCAACCTCCGCGCCTCCTCTAGCTGACGCTCGCGAGCTTTTCGCTTCGCCTTCTTACCTTGCGTGTTGGCAAGACGAGCACGAGCTTCAGACAACATTTCCTTTTCTGAAAAAAAAAGGAATCATGAGTAAGTGAACCCAGTTGACCCGCAAGACTCACCGTCTTCATCCATATCAATAGGATCTGGTCGAGCAGGTTTTGTCTCCGGATCTGGATCAATTTCGCCCGGTCGCAGTCGTCTGATATCGTCTGCGCTTGGTCCAGCTTCAGGGCCCCCAGGTCCTGACAATCCCAACTCTTCGTTGGCTTTGGCCTCTGCCTCGTCCAGCAATTTCTGATATCGTTCGAGACATTGCGTGGCTGTCCGACCGACTAGAGGCGCAATCGTCCGCCACTGTGTGGGCATGAGTTTCGCAAGATGGAGTAGCTTTTCATCCTCAGTCTGGCGGAACGATAAGTAGGTGGATAAGAGACGGGACAAAACCTGAACACGTACTTTTGACCACTCCGTTTTCTTTATTGAAGGGTCTAGCCACTCGTACCACCGCGCTTTACATTGTTTGGGTGTCTTGCGAACAAGTAACGACGAAATCCGCGCCCTAAGAGCAAATGAGATTCAGGTCTTGGAGGCGTCGGGAGTGAGCTCACCATTGATTTTTCCCATACTTGGCTATTGCAGCCTTTAAAACCTCATCTTCCGTGTTCTATGGTTCCAATGTCAGCATTCAACACTCCAATGACTGAACAAGTTTTTCCGACCTTCCAAACACCTGTTGGCACGCATAAGACCAGAAATTTGCAATAAATCTTCTCGGAACATACCTCCTTTGATAATTATTCGAACCATACTTGTACAGAGCTTGGCAAGATACAGGAACTGAAGTAAGAGAGCAAGCTCTGCTAGAAGAGCTGGAAGCGTCCAGAGGTTGATTAGTCATAGTAATACATATTGGACAATTAGACACAAACACCGGTCCCGTCACTGAATTGACGAATTTCAATAACAGTACTACTTGACATTCCTTAGCGCTTGTATTGAGAACCCAATCGCTCATTGTCTAGCAAGACTTCTCTGAGTTGCACTGGGCTGTTATCCATAACATCGTTGGGAATGTGTTTGCCCTCAATTCATTGGTTTAGATTGAGCAGCTTTGACCACTTATTCTTGAAATTTGAAGCTAACCTTATGCGCTCATGCTAGGCTGCAAGTGGACCTTGATACATCGTGGGTGCCTTTGGTCTTCCGACTCACACTCACGTACTGTACTGATAACGAGTATGACTCGTCGTCAGGTTAGCGCTGAGTTGCGCGATCCCATGTGTCTATTACGATGTGTGGATAGGAGCTGACAATACTTCTTGATCAGTGACTTGGTCTTCAATTTTGTACGTGTCATTATTTAACCTCAAGTTTTATCCACGTACACGACGTGTCAATGGCGTTTGCAACGGAAGGATTAGGTTGAACCTATTACATGCATCAGCGAATGGTTGAATCCACCCCTGCATCGAGGATACAGGACGTCTTGATTATTTTAAACGCCATAGTTGTCTCAAGATGCTATCGTGAGGGTCGGTGACGAAAAAGTTCGCCCAGGTGCAAGACGAGACGAGATGCTTCATTGTCCTCACCAGCAAGTTTTGAATGTGAGTGAACTAGTCCCAAGTTTCTCATAGCATCATAACATGTATAACGGCGCTTAGGCACAGAGCTGGATGGGAGTCTCAGACCAAGATGGTTCCGACCGGGCCAAGCTGCATGGCAGTGAGATTGCAGCGAAAGGAATTGTTTGAACGGTACAAAGAACAGCCGAGATATGAAACAGCGCTACTCCCCGAGATTCCTCGTAGTATTCTAATCTGAGTGAGGAGGTGCCGGTGAAGACAGACGCAAATGATGCGCTGCTCGATGCAGACGGAGTCGCCACTGAGAAACACCATATGTATAGCGAAACAACGTTGTTAGGCAGGGCTTTTCATGAATATGCATGATGACAGAGGCAAAGACTCGGTATAATTTATGGAAACAGCAGAGGGAAGGAACTAAACTATGAGATCATGTCGGACGCATGATCATGAGAATTAGGAGTATCCAAATAAACATGCAAAGACACGAAATCAACCACATAAGCCGCTGTCAATCGTAAGCCCGCATCGCTTGCATTTCACTTGGCGATCAAGCAGGCACAGCCCGATACCTAGCGGGAACCAAACTATTGCAGCCAAAATTCCTACAATCCGGTAAGTGGTAGGTCGACAGACCAAGGACATTTACTACTCACCCAGAATTCCGAATTTCGTTTGTGTTACGTGTGCACCTTCTTGTAGACATATCATCTCCGGGTGAGTCGGGGGTAACAAAGATGTTAAGTGTTCTCCTGTAGCTGGATTATGGTAGTGATAAACTGTAGGCTGTTGCATCATAGGCACCGAAGTGCCGTACACGGTCGTGATAGGGGACATCGGAGTGCCCTGCTCTGCGGGTGATTGTGATTTAGGCAGCTTGTCAGACGTAGCAGAGGCTCGTGGGTCTAGAAGAGTATTCAGAAACCTGTCTTGATCGACTGGTAGACAGACATACCAGCACTGGGACCCTGCGCTGCAACGAACTCATACGCAGGGGGGTTGTCGGTGTAGGAGACCTGCAGGAAGTGCTTTTAGAGTGAATCTCGTCGGTAAGGGTGAGGCTCGTACCATGTTACAGTTG